CGAACATCCTTGGAACTCCATCTCAATGGACTTCATCAAACAGCTACCCTCCTCTTCTGGATTCACTTCCATCCTGGTTGTCATGGATTGCCTGTCCAAACAGTGCATTTTCATTCCTACCCACGATACCATCACCTCTCCAGAACTGGCCAAGCTATTGCTCCTTCATGTGTTCTCCAAGCATGGAGTTCCCTCCCACGTCACCTCCGACAGGGGTCTGGAGTTTGTTTCCCACTTTTTCCATTCACTTGGCAAAGCCCTCGACATCCGCCTCCACTTCACCTCCAGTTATCATCTGGAAGGAGACAGACAGACTGAACGGATGAACCAGACACTCGAGCAGTACCTGTGCATCTATAGTAACTACCAGCAGGATAATTGGTCCAAACTCCTACCTCTTGTGGAGTTCACATACAACAACGCTCTGAATGCCACCACAGGCGTCTCTCCATTCCCCACCAACAAAGGCTACCATCTGAACATCACCGTTCACCCGGAGCGAGACCTAACATCAGTACACACCCAAGAGTACTTGGTAGATCTTGACACTCTCCACCACTTCCTTTGCAAGGAAATGCACCATGCTCAGATCTGTTACCAGGGCCCAGCAGACTCCTGCCAGAGTCCTGCCCCAGCTTTTGAGGTAGGAACTTCAGTCTATGTAAAGGCCAAGTATTTCCATTCCACCCGACCTTCCAAGAAGCTCTCCAAGAAAAACCTCGGCCCATTCGAGATCATTGCCTGCATTGGAACCCACTCCCTCACCCTCTGCCTGCCAGAAAACATGCAAGCCATTCACCTGGTATTCCATGTCTCACAGATCGAACCCTCCATCCCGAACGTCATTCCAAACCGCCACCAGCCACCTCTGCCTCCAATAGAAATTGAAGGCGAAATGGACTTCGAGATCAAGGAGATACTCAACTCCAAGATCGACCAACGTAGATGCAACAAGTTGCTCTACCTGGTCAAGTGGCTAGGCTATGAAGGGACCGATGAGGAGACACAATGGCTCCTTGCTGGCAAACTCAATCATGCCTCCAACCTCGTCAAAGCTTTCCACTCTTGGTACCCAGATAAGCCTGGTCCCAAAGCTCCTTAGGAACCTTGACCCCTCTCCCATCTCTCCTTTCTCTCCACTCCTCATTTCCATTTTTGCTTTTTTTCTGTAAGTACAGCTCCCCTCACCTTACTAATTCTGGGCCTTCAAGGGTTCAGGCCTAAGAAGGGGATACTGTCATATCCATCCATGGCCATCATCTTCCACTACCTCCGGTCCTTCTGGATTACCTCCACTCCTTCTTCACTAACCTCGGAGCCCCCATATTCCACAATCACCTCCACCTCCCTCAATGGTCACCACTCCCTCTTTTCAATATATTACCTACACCTCCCTAAGTAGGGAGCCCCAAAGGCTTCCAGACAGCTCCAACGTCCACTGGCGCATTCCCACCCCTGCTGGGCAATTCACTTGCTTGCCCTGCAAGTCTACCTTCAGACCTATCCCTCCTTTCCATTTCTGGGTTATCGCCTGCCATTCCACTAACCCCATAACCTGACTTGTTGGTAATATTCAGTCAGCTGATGTTTAACTCCATTAGCTCTGCTCTGCTTGGTCCCACCATTCATGGGCCCACCTCGATGTAACTATATATACTTAACTTGTAGATAGGTTACACTCCAGTGATAAAATCAACTAGAGTTGATCCCCCTTTTAGTTCTCATTGCCAGTAAGTAAATTAGGGCACGGACGTGTAACTTGGCACAGCGCTCCTGGTCTGAGTCACTGAGGCCAAAGCCCTCTGCCACAGAGACAACTCCTTTGTCTCGCTTCTGGTCTCTAACACTGACCTGGTACCCCAGTACCCACTCTCCCCCTGCTTCATCAGCAAAAGTCTGTTATGCTCTGGAGCATCAAGAGTGGCTGGAGCATGTGGGAGACAAAACAGCACATTGGGCACTCCTGGAGCCAATAGTGTTCTCCTGGGAGGGGGTTCAGGAGCAGCTGGGAGTGGTGAGGAGTATGCAATGTGCCAGGAGCAGTGGGAGGAAAATTTTGGTCTCTAAAAAGTTGAAAAAAAAAATTAGGGAAAAATCAAAAAAATTCAGGAACTATAGTGCCTTTAAAGTGCTTTCAGGACATATAATTATTTGCGAAATTGAGGAAGAAATGATGGAGAAAAATGGAAAATACTTTTGGAGACCCAAGAAATAATGAGAACTGAATTGATGGGAAAGTCTGAAAATTGAATAGGAAAGTGAGGGGAACCCTTGTAGCATTGTTATTTTCTTTTTTCCTGATTGTTCTTGGTCTCACTCCCAGCTACTCCTGGACCCTCCCAGGAGCTTTCAGGAGTATCCCAGGAGTATCCAGGAGCAGCTGGGAATGAGACCAAGAAGAATCAGGAAAAATCAGAACAGCAGAAAATAACAATGCTACAAGGGTTCCCCTCACTTTCCTATTCAATTTTCAGACTTTCCCATCAATTCAGTTCTCATTATTTCTTGGGTCTCCAAAAGTATTTTCCATTAGCTGCTCCTGGACCCTCCTGTCATATCCCAGATCTTCTGCCTCCCTCTGCCCTATCACTACATGACTCCTATGACCTCCACCAGCCCTCCCAATCTCTCTCTGCTGCCTCCAGTCGATGCCAACAGCCCTAGGACTACCTCCTCCTTTGACTCTCTCCTGCTCTGCCACCCACCTACGTCTGCATCACCTCCGGACCTCCACCACCATACCTCCACCTCCTTGGACACCTTGTTCAAAGGAGTTGGGCTTGCTCATTGTTGATAAATCTCAACTTGCCTATCCACCCTCCTTCCTGCTTCTGGTCTCCACACCTCCAGTACCTCCTCATTCCTATCTTACCTCCAGTCTTGATAATCTTATTGTTTTATCATTTGATATTTTCTATAACCCCAATCTTCCAGACTACAACTTCCGGGCTCCGGACCTTTCTGGACATCTTTCTCTGTAGTTCCCTGCTTGTTCATAGACGCTTCCAGACCTTGCCATTCAGTTGGCTTTTAATTCTCCCACTCCACAAAACCTCAGATGTAATTCAGGCTTTTTGTCAGGGCACAGCCCCTGACCCCACACACCCTCAGATACCCTTCCCCCATTTTCCCCTTCACTGTTCCACAATCCCGCATGCATGCAGACCGTGGGAATGTTCTGGGCGAGTTACTCGCCCAGAAACCATCACAGCCACAACCGTGGGAACTTTCTGGGCAAGCTGCTCACCCAGAATCTTCCCACGGGGGGGTGTCAATTATGGAAAGTCAGCAAAGAGCCGAAAACTGTATAGTTCCCAGCTCCCATTTGTAGTGGCTTCACAGGAGGTTGAGAAGGTTACCCTTCTTCTCAACTCATTTCCTGTGAAGGCTGGACCCAACCCACCCAACCCACCCAACCCACCCAATCAACCATACCCAACTCAACAGACCAGTCTGTAAATCAGATGATACTATCCATTTTACACTGAAACAAAAAGATAGGCTGTCCTAAGGATAGTTAATCTTGAGTTTTAACAAGATTGGGTCCATTATTTCGTAAATAATGGAAAAACCACTTGCCTTTTATGGAAATAAATACTTCCATTAAATTCTACAGCATTGTAGCTTTCTGTTTCATATTTTATCATAATTTCAGGATAACTATAACTATGGTAAAATCTGATTTCCACCCAAGATCCACAAAGATTAATAGGATTTCAGATGTGGGATGCTTTCCAGGTGCACAGACCTGTACTGTGCAAGTATAAATACTAGGCAAAAAGGGCTGATGAGTCCCCCCAGATGAAAGTCCCCTGTGTTCCAGTAGGAGCAAGGGTCTCCTCTTTCTGCCTGCAATTTCAGCCCAGGACATCTACTATCTTTTACAACCCAATCCTTCCCTGTCCTTCCACCCCAGATAGTCAAGAAAGGAGAGTAATTTTTGACTTTTTACCTTCTTTTTTCTCACCTTTTTTATGCCCCTTTCTTGTGCCTTAGCCCTATGGGCTCTGCTGCTTGGTTGAAACCCACTTTTGTGGGTGGAAACCAAGTGCACTTGTCCTCCTGGGCTCTCCATTATGCATTTTATGCATATGGGGCATAGTTCTGCTTACCCAAGCACTATGTCTTTATAGCCCAGGCCCCCCATTCTCAGTCCTAGGACTTGGGGGGTGTCTTTCTGGCCCCTTTTGGGACTAGGAAGAGGACTTTTGGACCTGGTTTCTGTGCTTTTCTTGCACAGAGCCCATTACTTTCCTTATTTGGAAAGTTTGGTCCTTTGGCTTTCTTATTGATGGCCACTTCTACTATTGCCTTTTATAAGGTCTTTTATGATCTTTGGGCCCTCTTTATGAGGTTACAAATCATTCCTAGTTGAATATTTTGTAAATAATATGTAGAAAATCATTATGTACATATTGACTGTATGTTACATGATGATTAATATAACTTGTTTTCTTTGCATTCCTATGCACTGTGACAGGACAAAATGAAGTGTCCCATGCCTTTTTGGGTGGGCCTTCCCTGCACTATGAATATCAAGTTGAGGGGAAATGGACATTAAAATACACATTGTAGAATGTTATAACATCTGACCTTGTCTGGGTGGATGAACATAACTCTTTGGGAGCAGACAGAACTTGCAAGGATCGAATAACCTTCATGCTGGAGACAAACAGTCAATGGTATGGCCTTATTGCTCCCTTTGTTCCCTCCACACCCAGTGCCACATACACGTTCCCCTTGAGTGGAGTGGTGATCAAAGACAAGTCACCATCAGGGAAACTGATCCAGCTGGTGCAGCCAGAGTTCCAAGGGTATAATCATGTAAGTAGGATTTTTTTTTTTGAATGTTGTGTGTTGCTCATCTGTGCCCAAGCCTCATCACCCCATGCCTGGCACTTCCACTCAGTTTTGTTATCCACCTACATTCCCTCCCACAGGTCCCTCAACTCCTCCATTGCAAACTCCTGTACACCCCACTCCCCAACCCACAGCAGGCCCTAGGCCAAGTGGTGGAAGGGCCTGCTGTGGGTTGGGCCTGCTGTGGGTTGGGGAGTGGGGTGTACAGGAGTTTGCAATGGAGGAGTTGAGGGACCTGTGGGAGGGAATGTAGGTGGATAACAAAACTGAGTGGAAGTGCCAGGCATGGGGTGATGAGGCTTGGGCACAGATGAGCAACACACAACATTCAAAAAAAAAAATCCTACTTACATGATTATACCCTTGGAACTCTGGCTGCACCAGCTGGATCAGTTTCCCTGATGGTGACTTGTCTTTGATCACCACTCCACTCAAGGGGAACGTGTATGTGGCACTGGGTGTGGAGGGAACAAAGGGAGCAATAAGGCCATACCATTGACTGTTTGTCTCCAGCATGAAGGTTATTCGATCCTTGCAAGTTCTGTCTGCTCCCAAAGAGTTATGTTCATCCACCCGGACAAGGTCAGATGCATTGTGAAGCAGATACTGAACAACCTAATGCAGCATATGTCAGTGGGGCTGCAAAATGACACACAACTCACTTACCCAGTCCCCATTGATCCCCATTCTCTCAGGGAGCTCAGGAACTTTGTCATCCCAAGTTACGTTGCTCACCAGGTGGGGGATCAGAGTGTCAAAGAAGGCAGCAATGTTGGGAAGGAAGAACACATCAAAGTGAGCTTCATCATGCTTGCCCCCCTTCATGGTGATATTGAACAACTCGTTGGGCCCCCACACACATGCAATAAACTGAGCCAGGTCAGTTTTCCATTATTAGATAAATATGACAAGACAAGTTGCTTACAGTCTCCATGCAATACTTGGCATTTCCAAACTGGGTCACCAGTGAACCAGACTTTGTGAGCAGATGTTCAGGGTGGTAGAACTGAGGTGGAATGCATTTGTTGGGATTTTATGCAAGTTGTCATATCCATACAATCCCGACCTCCGCTCCGGGCTCCTGGAACTCCGAACTCCGACTTCCGGAGCCCTATTTCCCTTCCATCACTTTCTCCTTGCCGACTCCCAAGAGGTTATCCCACCTCCGGCTCGGACACCACCTTCGGTCCGACTCCGGAACATTCCGGGTCCGACCCCAACCTCGACACCTTCCAGACGAGTACGCAAAACCTATGCTCCTGACTCCGGACCTCCGCTCCGGTATCCCGTTCACGTCTCGTCTCTGGAACCTCCGGTCTTAGCTCCGACCTCGGACTTTGACCCCACCTCCGCTTATACCCATTGTATTGGTTAGCTCATTCCATTTAATTACCTTTGCCAATATTCCGGAGTTTAACCTCCGAGTTCGGACTTTCCGGACTTACTCCGGACCTTGCAACTATTGCATTGTCCATTTCAATTCCGCTATTCTCCCTCATTCCTATTTGGGCTGCTGCTTCCTTTCTATTCAGTCAGCTAGCCATTCCCCACTCCCAACCTCCTTCCTTCCTCCTTGGGCCTTGGCCCTTCATTCCTCCTTTGGGAAACACCATTGAGTCAAACACTTGACCCTCGGTGTTGTTCCTCTTTCCATCTCCCTTTGTCTCCTTTCGTCCTACCCTTGTTCCTTTTGATTCCGGACCCCTCCTTATATACAATGTACCTAGTAACTTGTAACCTCAGTCCGAAATCAACTTGAATTCCCCCCAAGAGACTTTCCCTCTGCTAGATCCGAAATTAGGGACCCCCAGGACAACCAGCAATGGCACAGCGCTCCACCTGAGTCGCTGAGGCCGAGGTCCTTCCATGATAAGTCTCCGATTCCATTCCGGAGTCGTCCGAATCCGCAAGTTCTAACACAAGTGAAAAATGTTGCTTACTATCCCAGGCTCAAATGTCCACTCCTCTTCTCCCTTGGGTTGAAGTAAGTTCCCAGGGAATTCACCAGGAACCTTCTGGACCCTCTCAAACTGGCTCCAACTCCACTTCATCAGCTTTTGGGATGTTGAAGGTCCTCTTCGATGTTTGAGAATGTGAGCTGGGAGAGACGTGAGGATGGGGGAAGGTGGTCATGGTCAATGTTGTTGAATGTTTGGTTGTCATCCTCAGGTCCGAGGATGTGACGATCAGAGCAAAGTATGGCTAGGTGCCAGAGACAAATCTCAAAGAGAACTAAGTGACTGAGTGAGCAAGAAGAGTAGGAGAAAAGGGGGAAATGTTCAACTTACATTTTGCATCCCCCCCCATATGCCTTACAAATGACGACTTTGTGTATTGGATGAACCATTTGACCTTTCTCATGAGAGTCATAACCCTCAGCATCTCCATTGAACGAAGGACAGGCCTCAAAGGCTCCAGTGAATTGTTGCTCCCAAGCATCCCTGCCCACCACACTCTCCTCTGTAGGCCAGTGGGGACTCGGTTGCTGTTGACAAAGGTTCCATAGGCATTGACATAATCAAGCAACAGATTTGGAGCCTTTTCCACAGGGGCATTATCTTGAAGTACCCAGGTGAAAAACATGGAATCAGTCATTAAGGCTTCGGTGGTGGGGAAAATAATTATTGTGTGGAGGCCAGGATGAAAGATGCACAACTTACAATTTCGGTAGACATCCATTGTCCAAAATGCATCTTTATGCTGATGCACTTCTTCGAGTTGGAACTCGTGGGCTTCAGGATGCTCATCTCCACTCTCTGCCATTGTTTCCTTGGTCAAAGCCAACTGGATGGCATTCTCAAGGACCCGCTTCCTATGCTGACCATGGCACAGGTAGACCTTGAGGTGTGATGGCAAGAATTCCGAAGCCCCCAGCATCACACTGCCTGGCTCTGATGTGAGAATGCCAGCCATAGGGTGTCTGTCACGGGTGATGGTCATTCCCCATGCTTCGAAATACTTTTTAACAAACTCCGGTTGGACCTCCCGGTTGCCAGGGAGCTGCTCCATCTGAGACAACCTGACCTGCATTGCCATGGGCATCAGCAAAAATAAAATGAAAAAAAATAAAATAATATACCTTGACCTTACCCAACCAAGAGTCATCCTTCTTCGTGTTGAAACTTTGTTCTTGGGCCAGGGCTACCTCAGGGAGGGCTGCACTGCTGATGTATTTTTGGGAGTCAATTTGGTATTCAGGGGACATTTCAATTTCCTACAGATTATGTAAGTAAGGACTTGGGGGAAAATATATATAAAAAGTTGCCTCAACAAATCTGGGTTTGACTCAGTCCCAACACCTCTCCCAACATGATAGATTGCATTTGTATGTCCTACAGACATGAAACAATCAAGCTGGACCCAGATCCACTATGATCTGGGTCAGGTTTTGGCAAAACATGTGTTTTCACACAAATTGCACAAAATCCGAGCTCAGAACCCATGTTGTGGAGAGATTTGGAAGATCTAGAGAGGAAGCAACATGAACAATGCATCTTACCATTTTCAAGGGATTTTGCGCAAAATTGCAGGTGTGGTGGACAGATCAGTTGTGTTGTGGTGATAGCAAGCAAGTGCAAAAGTGAGATCATGTGACCTATCCGCAGTGGGATAGCCCTTTCGGAATTTTCCATTTAAATTCTCACGCTACGGAATTTCCCACCTACCAATCCCCCAGGGGATTGCTCTGTGGCTGTGTGTCCAGTGTGTCTGTGCACCATCACCCTCACTGTCTTGAATGCCGTCACCACTGATTCCCACGGTCTCAACACACTTTACATATATGGATAGTCCTTGAAAATAGTTTCCCAAATATATAATTATTTCCACAATTGACCAATAAATCATTGAGAAAAATGCAAAATACTTTCCCAGATGCAACGAATATGCATCAAGTAGCAAAAATCAAAGGCTCCAAAAAAATCATATTAATATTCCTTGATGACTGTAGACCTATTTTGGTGCAAACAGCTTCTTTATGGGTCTGCTAGATCCAAAGATATTCTCCATTCTTTAACTTTTGTACCCTTGTAGCCCAAGAAATTAAAGGGCTCATAAAATCCCAAAAAATGATATTAGGATTCTTTGATAATAGTAGACCTATTTTGGCCTAAAGGAATTATTGTAGTTATTTTAGATCTCAAGATAATTGACATTTGCTTAAGATGCATCCTCCAAAGGTTGTTTCTTGAATAGTCCTCTAACCTGAGCAGCTATGCACTTGGTTTCCTTTGCATTTGGCAGGTCTCAGCAATGTTAATGATATTTGTGTATTTGTTTCAGCATTGTGAAGTAAATTGTTGAGTAAGATGATGGGGTACAAGGGGGTACAACAGGGTACATTGCAAAGATTCCCCTATAACTTGGCAATGGGTGCACTAAATTTTATATGGTTTGTACGATTGGAAAACTATGATTTTACTCCATTTCTGTAGGCTAAAATGTTTGTAGAATTCATTAGTTGGGTAATTGGCTATTGCCTCACTGTACCCCCAAAAGCCCAAGTGTCCACAAAAATCTGGATAATTCATATTAGTGTTTATTGATTAAGATAGACCTACTTTGGTCTAATATACATGTCAATAGAGTCCCTGGCTCCTGAGATATTTTACATTCTTTCAAGTTGTACCCCCTAACAATTGTTTTGTGAATAACTCAGCAATGACAACAGCTATTCATTTGGTTTCTTTTGCATTTGGTAGGCCCTAGTAGCCCCTAAAACATATCTTATTTACCGGTGGTGTTTTAAAGTAAACTGCTGAGAAAAAAGTGCAGGGCACATTGGGGTACAAGGGGGTACATGCAAACATTGATGAATAACTCGGCAACCACTGAGCAGAATTCTAAATTATTAGTACCCTTGGAAAGCCACGATTATAGGCTATATTTGGGTGCCCAAACATCCATGGGGTACATCAGTAATAGGCTATGCCTGGTATTGAAAATAGATTGGAGTACATCAGTGTAACCAAAAGAGAAGTCCGCGATGCCATATTCACAGCCACCCAACTCAACGCACCAGGTATATCAGGCCTGACGGGCCAAGCATGGCGATGGGCATGGCAAACAATGGAAAATGAGATCTACCACCTCCTGAGACTTGCCGACTCAGGATACCACCCCAAAATATGGAGAACTGCCATCGTGGTAGCCCTGCAGAAACCCAACAGGGACTATGCACTCCCCCGATCCTATAGACTCATCCAGCTTCTAGAGGTCTCAGGCAAAGCCTTGGAAAGAGTTCAAGCATGCAGACTAGCCTTCCTAGCTGCAAAACACCAGCTATTCCCCAACACCCAGTATGGCGGCCTACCTGGAAGATCAGCACAGGATGCTCTACTCACGATCACACACGACATAGAGGCTGCATGGAACCATGACAAAGTGGTATCGATGCTTACCTTTGACATAACCGGATTCTTTAACTTCATCCCCCATACAGTTGAGCCCAAGCAAACACTTGAAAAAAACTTGCCAATGCAAGGAAACTCCCTGAACATGTATAAACCGCTTTCTTTTGTGTGTCGGTGTCATTTCCGTATGTCACAATTGCCCAAATCGAAGATTTATTTTCATTGAACCATGAAATTTTTGCCAGTGGCTAAAAAATAAGCGCTGGGGCCCAACTCTGGTACCATTTGAAAGGTCTTTTGAAAGTAAACATGATTTCAAACAAGTGCCAATGATACATGCAACAATGTGGCAGCTGGAGGGGTGTCTTGGTTTGTCGGTCGAGTCCGAATTGCTTCCAACTGATGTTGACTCGACTACATATGTCAATTTTCAACCAAGCTTAACTCCTGTATTCGAATGTCATTTAATCCTCT